CTGACGAGGTGATCGCAGTCGACTTCCGAACACGTATTATGATAATATTATATAAATAGTGATCAATTAATTTTTCTGTTTGCGATTATAATTATTATTCTCACGTCATACAAGGAGGCACGTAGTCAGAAAATATTCACTAGGTGGGCCAATGTTAGATGGGCCCCCTACATGGGCGTTCTCACGGGGAGGGGATATGGGGGATAGATCCCCCCCAAGGTTCTTTATTTTTTTACATATTAGTAATACACGTTTTGTCTACTTTTGATATGTGTTTGTGTTTTCAATATTGACTTGGTAGTTAGTATTTTATTTTTTTTTTGCAATTTTCTTTATCGTGATTATTGATTCCTCCAGCCATAAACAATATTATTATTTATCACTGATAATTATAACATATAACAGGCAATTTGCTTTACAATTGATTTGTACTGTATTTTTGTAAACAATCACTCCGTCAACTTTACCCATTCCCAGCGTCAGAAAAAATGTAAAGGTAAGATACACAATAATAACACCACAGTGATAAAATAAAATAAATAATTTAAACCAGGGGTGGAAAACGTTTTTAAAAAACGTTAGTAAACGGAAAAAAACGAAAACAATTAATAAAACAAAAACAAAAAACCATAACAAAAAATCCCAAAAACAGAAAAAATATTAATTACGAAATCAAAAACGAAAACGCAAATAAATTATAGTATTATACATTATTATATTTATAACACGAAAAAAAAAATGTTACTTAAGTATTTACTTTTTAATCTTTACCAACAATGCTCTATTAAAATTTAAAAACATTTTTATTTGAAATCAAGAATAATTAATTTTAATTTTTAACTCCTAAGTGCATTTCTAAATTGCTAAATTTACTACTATAAAAAAAAACAATATTATCAAAAACAATATAGAAAAATAACGTTTTTAAAAACGTTAATCAAAAACGAAAACGAAAAAATTAAAAACATTTTCTATCCCTGATTTAAACTGATTCATAACATTCTTGTATAGTTTAAATAAAAAGAACAATAAATATGACTTGAATCGATTATTTGATATTATCAACTATATTACTATCAATATTATTAGATTCTGAGCGGAGTGAGGGATCTATTGGTTTTTCAATATTGTTTATATTTATTTTTATTTTATCCTGCATACAAAATTGTTACCAGAAGGAGTTCTTCGCTTTTAACATATAGTATATCTTTTCTTTGTAGCAAATTTTATCAAGATGGTACTTTAGAGAGGTAATTTTTCAATTTTCTCAATATATATTTAATGACACATTACAATTTCAATGACAAATTTCAAAAACCGCTAAAAATGTGATTTCAATTTCTAACACTTTGTTTATCACCATAGTAACAAATAAAATAAAAATAATGATTTTAGTTATTTTATCGTAATTTATAATATTAATTCAACTTACAGGCTATAATAAAATATAATTACAATATAAAATATCCAGACCAGACTGACAAACCGTCTCCCGCTCAGAATCGTTTTTCGTATACAATGATATGATTTCATTGAATTCAAATTTAATACAATCCATTATACAGTGACCAACTATTGTAATCTACTGTACAGCAGAGCGACATCCACTTACCCGCTTTTTTAATATTCATTATTATAATATGGGAGTTGTGAGGCAAAACCCTTACGGCTTATTTTGAAACCATTTTTTTCATCCCCCTCCATTGAAATATCCTGAGAACGCCTCTGGCCCCCTACCTAAATATATTACCTTGTACCTTGTAGGGGTGGGCCCCCTACCATTTTATATTATAAAAAGGTAGTTATCAGATTATCATTACTATAAATATATATATATATATATAACCTAATAATACCATAGTTTATCATTATGTCAATAACTAATAAGTGTAATAAAAAAAAATTGATAAAATACATAAATAAAAATCAAATACAAATAATGCTTTTAATAATCATAATAATATATGCATTAATAATATGTTTCCTCTTCTTTTTGAAGTTTAAGTTTACGTTTTGCATATCCACTTAGAGGAGCTATTTTAAAATATTAAGATAAATTATTAATAAATACGTTGGCGTGAGTACGGGTGCCGCGTGAGCTGAATGTGAGTGTTCGACAGACTAGTTGACGACCATAATAATAATATAATTATTCTATATGAATCAATATAATGACAATTTACCCTTACTCAAAAGTATTTTAAAAATAGACATAAAAGTATAAAACAGCCACTGTCTAGATAAGATATGAATAACATGAAATGCTAGTATACTATATAGACATACATGTCCCACCGAGATCTGACAAAAAAAAAAAAAACTACTACTTAAACGTATGACAAAAATTGTTAACATTATGTTATTATCAAATAATTTAAGAAATATACTCATATTAGCAAATTTCCAAAAATAATATTTTTAAAAAAGTTATTACGTTCCAAAATAATTTAATAAAAAATTTTTAGATATTTAAAAAAATTCTAAAAAATAAACTACTTGACTTATATAAATGTTTTTACCATCAAAATTGTTCTTATAATTAGATTCACAAATTGGCTATTTTAAATTTATATAAAAAATTTTAAGTCAAATTATAATTTTTTTATTTTCAGTAATAAAAAATAAAAATAATTTTTTGTATATTATACGTGTAGCGCAAGTGGCTATAAATTATTTAAGTAAAAAAAAATTTTAATTTTGTATATAGCAAAAGTTATGGCATTTGTCAGATCTCGGTGGGACACCCTGTATAGTATGGTACCAGTATTGGGCTTTAAATAGTAATTATTTCCTAATTAATCATTGACGATATTATGACATAAAAATAAATTATCACTGTTTCTTGGTAGCAACAAAAATTAAATGTAATACTAATACAGTATACATATTTTATTCCAGAAATGGACATGGATTGAATTTAGTTAGGTAGGTAACTTATTTTAGATTCTAATTAAAACCCGATATATTTGGTTTTATTTGTGTAATATTTAGACAATATTAAAAGCCACCGTATAATAATGGGCAACTCTGAGGCTCTGAATACTTTGGGGGGGGCCGGCCCCCCCTTAGCTACGTGCCTGCATACAAGTCTATTGCTGGATACAATTATCAACTTGTAGTGTAAAGTTGTCTGTATTGTATCGGTTACCGGTTATCCGTACCACCTATATATTATTATACCACATTCAATCGCCAATATCGTATTTTTGGTTTTAAAGTACGCGAGGATCCCGTCAATCGTCATCGAAACAAGTAGGTAAACACATTCAATTATGCATGATTATAATATTAATATTAATAATATGGAATTTATTCAGTGTAGAATTCAGCTAGGGGTCTCGGGCCTTTTTTTTACGGTGGCCCAAAACTGCAGTGATAGGTAAGCTTCGGCATCACGGCCACAATTTTTTAGGAATGATAGAGAGGTACAATATTAAATTGAATATATTGTATAAGAATTATTTTTAGTGATTAATGCAACATTATAAACAATTAAATATAATTTCTAAACATCAATGAGCTTGATGGGCCGCGGGGTACAGTCAATATTGGTAGTTTGGTAAATTGGTCGTTTTCAACATAATATATTTAATATTTATTACGTACATTACACTGGCCCCCCTCATTGAACTTTTTACAAAAAAAACTAAGTCTCGAATTAGCACACCATTAGCATGCATTTTCACGACTATTTTTAGAATTTGCACGACATTTTTTTACAAGTTATTCATAAAAAAAACTATGGGGGGCTGGCGTAACGTTACCCCAGCCCCCCACAAGTTTAATAATCACTTTTTTACAATTTTTTTTTTATCAAACATTAGCACGTCATTAGCATGCATTTGCACGACTGTCGCTGAACCCGAAACTTTACTATTTTAAACTTTCACGCTTTACCCCTGCCTACTTTAGCTTTCCCCCCTCGCATATGAAATAAACCTTTTTCACCGTTTTTTTTTTTTTTTTACTACATAAGGTATTTGTTATAGTACTATTTCGAATTTTGTCTCATCAAAAACTCATAAGTAAAATGGACGCATAGGAATCTTGTAAAGTACTTGAGGTAACTGTAAAAGTATTCAACTACCTACTTTTTAAGTAACCAACTTTTGAAAAAAGTACTTGAAAAAATGATGTACTGTTGTATAATTTAACTACGAATTGGTGTTAGACATAGACATTCATTGTCATTTTAAATTTTAAATGAGTGATTTTTAGTTTTCACCAATACCATTTTTCGAGGTAAGTATTTTTTACACATAATATATTAATATCATAATCAATACTTACATTTGATTTAATTTACATTAACATTGAACACGATTAGCATGCATATTTTAAATTGTACATTACACTCAAATTCTAACATTTAATATTGAACTAATTGGTATTATAATTATACTAGTTATTTTAGTTATACAATATCATAAGTATTATGAGTTATGAACAAAAATAAAAATATAATCAATGTTAATTAGTAAATTTTTCTTTATTAATATAAAACAATGAAATTCTTTTTTATTTTTAATGCTTTTTTCTGAAACGACCACAGCATCGACCGGACGTTCGAACAAACCGTCGAGGAGAAACGCTGGTGTGAAATGTCCATTGCCGCGGATTTTACTGACATACTGCACACCAAAGACGACGAGAGGATCTTCTGAGGTGACGGGCTGTCGGGCAAGTGGTTCTATTCTCGAGATCGATCGACAAGAAGTCGTGTGCGACTAAACTCGAATGATTATGTCGTAGTCGACTGCAAAACGCTATTCTCCAAAAGCATTCGACTAAAATTAGTCGCATTCGAGATTATGTCGACTAGTAATAATCTTGTCGAGTGAACCACAATGGTATAACCTAAAATTCATTTATTATCAGAAATATTCCGCCAAAATATGATATATTGATACCACGAATTAAGATATATCTTAATTCGTGATTGATACTGATTGTTACTAATCAAACCTACCTTATTATTGTTATTAATTATTATGTATTACCTTATTTTGGATGCTCAAAGCCGACGTACGTTTTGGTGGTTCCATAAATGGAGTGACTAACTCGATTAAATATTTTGTTAAAACTTTACTCAATCGGTAAGTTTTTATAAAAAGATGATCACTTAATGCTAATAAAGGGTCTATTTTAATGCCAAACGGTTGTCTGACATTTTGAGCTTCTTGCCTCTCTATATTAGCAATAGCAAACATCATAGCTCTTTCATATTCATTCGCCATTATTGTTATATTTAATAAAATATTAACTCAGCAGTTATAAAATAAAACAACAATAATAAATTAACAAAATGAAAAGGTAATCGACAATCGTAATACAAGTACTTAAACACAATAATACAAGATGACTTATCAATAATCATAGTATTCTGCAGTTGATTTGCGTGAAATATATTAAATCTATGGTGCTCGAAATTAACAAATCATTCGACTAAATTTTGTCGAATGCGATATAGCAGTAGACATAATGTCGAACGGTTTTCGTTCGAGAAAAGTCATACATCATTTCGAGAATACCAAGGACGACGAATCGATCGAGTTCGACGATGAATCGATCGAGTTCTGATTTATGTCGAATGCGACAAAATTCGAGAATAGGGCCCCTGGGGGTCGATTCTCGAACACATTCGACATGTAAGCGAAAATAAATAGAATACGACTACAGTCGCATGGCTAAGTCGTATACGCTTTGTGTCATCTGCTTATACCTATTCTTGAACACCACTCGCTAATTAAATTGTAGTATACTACTTTTTGTAGAGTGGTAACGAACGAGTCGTATGAACCGCTTGTGGTATACTTACTATCACGTAGATATCGACTGATAACAATAATACGAGCGATAATAATAATTGCATAATACATAATAATCAATAAAAATCGATAAAAAAATACCTAAATAAATTAATTAGGTACCTACCTAGTTTTTTTGTTCATTGTTATACATTTAAATAGGTACTAAGTTCTTCTTCATCGTGTCAGTCAGCTGTTTTAAATTGAGCCATTTTTTGAGCCAATATTTGATCTGTTTAATTACTTCGAGTACCTACTACCTACTAAGTTGTAATATAATGGCAAACGACATTAAAGGTCGGGCAACTGTGGATCAGATGATAGCTTTGAACGGGTTTTTGAAGCTTGATCCACAGTTGCTAAGTGGAAAATTTAGCAGTAGTTTTACGTTTAAAACCGCTCAAAAACGTTGGGAGAAAATTGCTGAGTCTCTAAATGCAATGCCCGGAGCCGTTAAAAATTGGAATAAATGGCGTAAAGTGAGTTTTTTTGGTTAAGAGTAGTGTAGCCGTGTAGGTAGTATTAGTTATTATTTTTACTTACATGATTGTAAATATTTTAGACTTTTCAAGATAATCGAACCAAAGCTAAGACCAAACAGGCAATGATTAGAGCAGCACAAAGAAAAACTGGCCATAATACACCATGTTCTACACTGACTGTTGTAGAAAATGATGTATTGGAACTTATTAATCCAACCAGCATTTCAGGCCATACAACAGCTAAGACATCCAAAGTCAATTTTTCATTTGGTGAACAGCAGGGTGTTGACATTGTAAACAATGACAACATAATAGTTGTACAACCAGATGATAACTGGCCTGTCGATGACAGTTTCTTAAAAAGTCCTTCCTTTGGTACATCCTCTCCAATCATTCCAAATTCTCCAAAGAATCCTGACTTAAATCCTGTTTCATCCATTGAAGAATCAAATGATAGTATATATCCAATAATTTTTTCCATTTAAAAATTATTATGTTACTTTTTTGTTGTTGTACTGATACTTAAATGTTACACAATTGTATAGATGTTTCTACATCTGTATTGACTATTATCATGTAAAACTAAACTAAAATTAACCTGACCTAGTACAATAACAAAAAAGTATCATTATTATTAAACTTATTTTAATTTACCTGTTTTTGCATTTAGAAATTAAAGCTACAAATAAAAGAAAGACAAAAAAATCAACTACGGCTCGAAGATTAGATGATGGTAACAGTGCTGCAGCAAATCTTGTTTCTCTTGGAAAAAAAAAACTTGCTTTAAAAGCCAGTTATAATGAAAAAAAGTTAGAGTTATTGAGAGAACAAAATGAAATATTGAGACAAAGAAATGACATTTTTAATCGCATTGCAGTTGCATTAACAAACAGAATTTAACTAACCTATTATTTTTCTAAATCATTTAATTCTATCTTATTTTATTTTAATACTTAAAAGTAATTCATTTTTTCTTAAAATTTTAAATAACAATTTTATTTACTAGTTTTTCATTTTTTATATAATCTAATAACATGTTTTCTTTTTTATTTAATTTTTACATACATAATAGTATAATACTTAATAGACATTAGAAATTAAAATTAAAATAATAATAAATAAACTAATAATATTAATAATTAAATATTAATAATACATTAAAGAAATAATAAATATAAATATAATTCTTATTGACATTCAATAATAATATAAGTAGATCTCTAATGAGTAATAAGTAATAACTAATAGTAAAGTATAAATAATATCAAGTTTTTACTATTAAAAGGTTTACATTTGCTTTTTAAAATAATAAATTAATATGTTCCTTATAAATGCAATCTGTTTCTTTTTAAATAATTTGCAACTATTGAACGTACTTGTCTACCTTGGACCAAATCATTGCCTGCAAAACGCTGATCAATAATTGGACCACCTTGTTGTTGAATTATACCCATATCAATGTCTATTGGCCCTTCTTCTACTGGCAATGGTACATTGTTTGTTATACATATATTATGTAATACTGTGCAAGCATTTATAATTTTAGTGCATTTTTCTGGGTGATAATGAAGAAATCTATGTTTAAGAAGACATCTAAAAGTATTTGAAAAATAACATAATCAATATTATACAGGTAGATAAAAACTAATATTAACTTTCAATCCTACCTAAATCTCATTTTAAGAACCCCGTTGCATCTTTCTATGATACTTCGAGTTGACATTTGCATTTTATTATAGTACTGCTCAACATCAGTAACTGGATTATTAAAAGGTGTTAATAACCAAGGGCGTAATGCATATCCAGAATCACCTGAAAAATGCATATTTTATTACAAAATTGTTCATGGGTTTTCAAACATAATTTTCATTTTCTTAATGCTTTCATCATCAAACCTCGATTGGTTACCAATATTTTCTCAGATATTAACTTTTATTATAATTTCTAATCATACGTGGTAAGATCTGTTAGGTAATTAAATCAGTTTCAATTATATAGGTACCTAAAAGAAAAAATCCTTGTTGACCATTTGTATAAAGTTGCTCTACTACAGGAAGTACATCACAACTGTTCCATATAAATGAATCATTTGTAGACCCAGGAAAAAGTGCATTAACGTTTAAAATTCTGAGCTTTGCATCACATATCTGGAAAAAAACTGTTATGTATGACAATTCAAAACTATGAATACAAATGTTGTATCAGTAAATTTGTTTTGTTTTAGTACCTAATGAAATTAATTTCTAACTTTTAACATAAAAAAAATTTGTATTTCCACATTTAATTCAATATTTAAAACCATGGACCTATAAAGTAATTGACAGCACTTATATAGAGAGGTCAGGGGTAGGATATAGTGTAAGCAAGAAAAGAATCAAAGTGTGGTGCTCCTTCACTACTTTATGTTCTTTCTCTCTCTGTTATATGGTTGTATGATCGCCTAGCATTGATGGCAGAGCGGAGTGGAAAGCGCTAACCGCCTGTCCATTAGTTTATAGGTCTATGTTTAATACATTGAAAAGAAACATAAAGGTATTTTGTTAAGTTAATAAATTAAGGTTAGATAACTATTAATTTTTAATTATAACTTGCTTGTCCTTGCATTTATAGTTAAGAAAGTTATCAAATCAAATTAAGTGAATGTATATAGGTACTCAACTAATTGGACATTTATTGAATGGTATCCTTTTCGATTAATATAAATATATTCAGGATTTGCATTAAATGGATCTTTAATAGGTGGAACAATAGCCACATGTGTGCAGTCAATGCATCCAACACAACCTTGAAAACCAGTTGTTTCATAAAATCTAAAATTTTGTAATTATAGTTTAATTAATTTTTGGTGAAATTTCAATTAAATAGTAAAGAAAAGTAACTGTAAAATATTGTATTATATTATATAATATATTAGTTCAGCAGCCCATTATTTTAAATGTATTCTAACATTACTGTATTATAGACACAACTAGGGATATTTTTCAGGGGGGAGGGGGTAGGTGGAAGAACTGTATCAGCAGCATAGACCCTAATGATTTTGGATTCTGAGCTTAGTGAAGGATCTATAGTGGTTTTACAATGGTTTTTTTTTTAATCCTGTATACAAAATTTCTACCAGAAAGTGTGCTTCGATTTCAACTTATATTTTAGCAAACTTGATCAAGATTGATCAAGATAACAAGTTTATCAGTACCTATATAGTTTATTTAGAACTGATATATAAGTATAAGCTTACTCATTGCGGACTTTCCTAAGTTCCCTTATATTACCAGGAAATTTTACCCAAGAACCAAAAATATCATCCTCGTTTAATGCAGTAGTAACTTCTTCGATACATCGAGATACAGAACTCTGAGATATCGAAGTAAATCGGCTATTACCAACTGGGGTCTGGTAGCTACCAGTGGCAAAAAAATTAAGAGCTACCAAAACCTAAAAAAAAAATTATTAATAGTTGGTAGCTAAATAATAATATTGTTCTATGATAATAATAGTAATTTTACTCATATAGGTGTTTATCTGTGTATAAAAGTCATATAAATAAAAAGTTTGGATGTTTTATATTATAAAAGTATGTAGGTACCTATCTAATCTAAATAACTTGCCTTTGTTGATGCGTCTAAATCAGATGATCTTTTTTTTATCTTTAGATACGGACATAATTGTCGTATCAAAATGTTAGTCAAATTCTTAGTTAGTCTGTAATTTTTTATAAATGCCGAGTCCGAAAGTTCAAAAGAATTAATAATCTTATTATTGCGAATTCTTGGATTTCTTTGAAAATATTGCTGGTGTTGTGCATTTTGAATTGCAATTAAATTTGCCAACTCATCAAAATTAGCCATAGTTATATTTAAATTGGTACGTCTTTTATATAAGTAGCTAGATCCTAATGAAATATGAATCAAAATTACAACTTAGTACTTTTTAAACGTTCGGAATACGGGCACGTCGGAACTAGGTACCTATTTATTAACTACTATGATACGTCGTAGATATATTATCTAAATTGTGTGTGGTTATTGTAATTAATACAACATTATCCATGGAGGCATACAAAGTAGTCTACGACTACTTCTTGACGAGTGGTTATAGTCATACGTTTTGAAGTCGTACGACTTTTCATTCGCTAGCGTGTCGTATGAAATTGAAGAATAGGAAATAATAAAAATCGTTCGACAATTCCTTTATGTCGTATACGACTATTAGATAGCGCCGTTCGAGAATTGACCCCCTGGACGGCGCAGTGCACTACAACTATACATACGGCCGACTGCGGTTCAGTGCTCTGGACTGAGCAAGCGAGGATGTGCGGGAGCTCGACAGCGAAGAATACGGCATGCAGCGGCGGTGGCAGCAACCGAAAGGATCAGGGAGCAGCAGGTGGACGAGTTTGGAAATCAGCCTTTGCCTGCAAAGGACCATGATCACGGAAACGCTGCCCGTGTCCGTGCAACCGGCTCGACGTGTTCGTTCTGCAGCGGCAAGGCGTTCGGCCGGGCGGTTCGGACTGTAGACAGCTATTGCAGGCTGCTGTTCGAGGTGCTCGTCGGACCCGGAGATGGCAACAGGAGGAATTTTCTAAGTGACGGTGAAACTGCAGATATGACCTCATAAAAATACTATCGTGGATTTAAGCTCAACTTTTTTTTTTAATTTTCACTAACAATAATATACTGGTTATAGGAACATAATGTAGGTATTTACATTTTTAAGTTACTTGACGGAGCAAAATATTTTTTATCGACATAAATTAAGGAAAACCTAAAATAGTCAACTATTGCCTATGCCTATACCTAAGTAGCTCAACACGAATCAAAAGAGACCACATATTTTGATAATTAGTATAAAAAATTTAAAAAATTCAAAAACACCGATAAATGATAACTATAACTGAAACTGATAACATATTTTCGTTCGGAACACGATTTAAAATAGTACTAGCACACATCAGTATCTGTGTCTACCATACCTACCAACTATAGATCCAATTTGCGGTCAGAAATCATCCCCAATGTTGATGAACAAAACATTTTTTTTACCATAAAACGATACGCATACACAAAAACACATAGGTAGTTGTAAAATCTTAATACGCATTAATCTCTACGATCAGAATCTAAAAGACTACTTCACCTATAAAAGTATAAGACGAGTACAACACGTTTATACAAGGTGTAACTCAAAGACCTGACGAAAAATAAAAATGTAATACCTACTTAAATGTATAGGTATGACAAAAATTGTTAAAAATATTGATATTTTAAAAAATTCTAAAAAATAAACTACTTGACTTAGATAAATGTTTTTTCTATCAATATTGTTCTTATAACCACAAATATGCTATTTTGAGTATATCCAAAAAAATTTAAATCAAATTAAAATTTTTTATTTTCAGTGTTAAAAAATAAAAATAATTTTTCTTTAATATATGTGTAACGCAGCGCAACCGCGCGAGTAACTATAAATTATGCTCGTACATAACTAGTTACTATATTGTACACACGTGTCAAGGCTGACTACATATACTACATATTAATTGTATATTTCAACAACTATGATTACGGGGTGGCCAGGACCACGGAAGTCAGCAGCGCCGGGCTCGAGGGAACGAAACGTTTCAGAGTTCGGCGGTGCGCGACGCCAGGGCGAAAACCACGCAGATTCTCTCCCATTTTCGCCCAGTGGTCTGATCCCGCCAGCCGATATTATTGTCTTCGTCGCTCGCTCCGAGCTTCGGTCACCGTCGTCGCCGTCACAACTTACTTCTTTATCTATGGTCAACTGCCGTGGTCGTCGCTCTCGCAGCCGTCGTGGCCGGGCTTCGTCCGTCGCCATGGTCGTCTTCGCGTCCAGACCAAACGGGCCCGCGACTCTCGTCCGCCCCGCAGGACCGGCCGTGAGAACTGTGTAGAGATGACCAGTGGCCATCGTTATTATCTGCATCACCACCCACTCGCCATCACGTACCCACCACACATCGCCTCGTCTTGTCCGATGCCTTTTTTTTTCTTTTTTTTAATTAATTATATTTATTGTTTTTTACAAATTGTATCTAATTCTTTTCGGCATAATTTTTATCAAAATTGTAAATCTCTCAACATAAATTGTTTAAAAAATGTTCATCAAATTATGATCTAATATAATTATTATTCTGTTTACACAGTAAAATGTTGTTTCTTGTTTTTTGCATTAAAGTGTACGATTTTATTTATGTCCACACGATAAAGTCTCCACTGAACGTGCGGTGAGCGTGGAATCTACTGGGACGCATAAAGAGCATTGAATAACAATTTCTTTGTTACGTACTAAATCTCAATAAAATAATATACATTGGAGGTTTTGGCCAAGAGAAAGTATTTTATATTTACCGGTGTGGTGAAATTTATTCTGCTCCAAATTGTGAGAACAGACAGAAATAGTAATCAAAAAAACAAACACACATTATTTTATCGCTCTGCTCACAATCTAAAATATTAATATAATTATAACTATTGTGATTACGTAAAAGTAAGTATACCTACTGCGAAAATCCGGTCATCGATCCACAAGAGTCTGACTGTCGAATCCGCACACTATGTCAATTGTGTCGATGATTACGATAATACTTGTGACTTGTTGTGTACACAATAATATATTAAAATTACATTTAAAACGATATATATATTAATACGACAAGACATTTAACATTTAAAGAAATAGAAATTGTGATTAAAAAAAAAAAGAATACTTCTATATAGGTACGCTAATAACGTATTTGTTGTTGAAGCGAATTTACCAATAATAATAAAAAGAAAAATCCGTTAACAGTTAAAAACATGTCAAAATAATTTGAAAATTGTATCAAGTATAGAAACTGACAAAATAAACATTTGGTGTAAATTTAAAGTACCTACGGTAATTCATTTTTTGACAACAATAATTATGAACATCGTTCCATGAGAAATTGAGTGAATACAGCTGGTACAGTTTGTAAAAATTTGTACTTCAAATGCTCATAAATAAGTAATTGGACTTTCCAGTAGACATTTTTTTTTTTTTTTGGTTAAAGGTTGAAAAACTTTTAAGGACTTCAATTTTTAAATATTAGATATAAAAAGACAATTTTTATGAATTACAAAACTTAAAAAAATCGTCAAAATTTCGTGATTTTGACGAATTTTGTCAAAATTCTGACTCAGACGCTCATAAAAATGTACTTCAAATTCAAAGACGCACAACATTTAAGTAAAATTTTAAGCTTAATATTATAATGTAGTTTTTATTACGCTTGCCATTTGCTTTATAATAAATTTTTTCAGACAATCTATATATTATTATGTATATTTATACAACAGTATGGCCTTGCATAATATAATGTTATAACAATAAAATAAGTTGACGTGTAGATTAAGAGGGGTAGTTCTTAAATCGTTATTTTTAGATATAATAAACTGAAATAAACAACGTATATTTTGGTCACCCGAGTGGTTCATTAATGTGAACAGAGTACTATTTGACAGGTGTATCTAATTAACTATTAATTTATACTTATATAATTTAATTATATAATACAATTAATAATATAAGTACAATAAAAGAATTTTCTTAAAAATCTATAAAAATAAATTCTCGAATCATTGATTAGGCTTCCATGACCCACGGTTGTCATACTTTCCATAACAGAAACTATGGTGGGATATTGATTATAATATTATACCATAAATGTTAATGGCTGATCCCGTGCACTTCGTTTCCCGTTAAATGTACCTACTCATCTATATACTTTGTTCAATTAATTATTTAATATTCGGTGTATGCGGTTCAAAATTTATCTTATCTTTTCTGTTGCCTGGAATAAAAATTCTGATTCGCAGCAGTATATTATCATTTATCAGGTAGGCCGCGGACCCCGTGCTGTTTGTACGTATATAACTTTATGATTTAACTCATAAGTTTAAAAGTTATACCAAGTATGTCACTGAACTCCTCTTAAACGACTGGACTAGTGCCGAGTCTGTCGACCAATATTTCCTCCTCGTCCACGAAAACGTGGCATTGTTTTATGTACGTAACTTATATTTGAGTATAATAAGCTCAATATTTACGTAATTGCAATAAATATAACATCAAAACACAGCGTATAAAAAAATTAAATGCATTGAACGAATACACTGATTTTACGGCCACAAATAATAATTAATATAATAGTTTTAAAACCCATGGCAACCATCTATAAACAAAAATTTTCCACCGTAAATCTCTAAATCCCCGTTTGAGCACATCCCCTGGTTGGACCCAGGGGGATGATTTGTGAATCTAAACAATCCGGGGCGTCACCCAAACGCATACAAAAAAATTCATTCAAATCGGTCCAACCGTTTAGGAGGAGTTCAATCACAACACACGTACAGTATAATTATATATATGTATATACAACGTGTCCCGGGGTGAAGTGACCGGCCGACGTCATACGAAAGTATACCCAAAATGATGAAGAAATACCCTTTAAAGAGTGGGTCTAACTTTTTTATTCTTTAAGTTATGGGCAGTTAACTTTTTTTTATCAAAATCAAACCTATCACACATTTTCTTATGTAAATCTTCAAAACTAATCAACATTTTGACGTAATTGTTTTTTATCTCAAATTTAAGTGTTCTATCAACCAAAGTAGTAAGTACGCAATTAAACCAGAAATGTACAAATTATTTTTATTAATTTGAAGAAGTAATTATTTTTATCAAAAATTAATATTTTTAAAAGTAAGTGTCGTAGTATAACTCCAAAAAATGTAGTATTTACCATGGGTATTTTGCTTATTGTATTATTGTACTGAATATTACCTAGAATAAAAGTTTGGTTTTAGTATCTTCCATGATTGCTGAATTATACGCTGTCGCAGTGGCGTCCGCAGGGGTGTGGGCTAAAGGGCTAAAGCCCCCCCTTTACCCGTATTATTATTACTTTTTCAAAAAAATATTAATCAAGTTAAACCGTCAACTATAGTAAGCGAACGTACATTTCAAATATGTCTTACCAGAATGAATTCATTTTTGAAAAAACATTGTATTTGTAACATACCAATTTGCATAAATTATCTGTAATTTTTCTGTAAAAGTATGAACTATTTGTATGAAAGACCTTGTATTAAATTGTCTAACCTTAGCTATACACATTTAATATTTTATAAGTTTTAAACTACAAATTAAATGTGGTTTTGACGAAATTTGAACTTTAAATGCTTATAAAAAATAAGCATGATGCCTATGTATCGTTAATATTTTAGCTATAATAAAAAAACTTACGTATTACATTTTTAAGCTTTTTGACCGGATAAGTAATTTTTTTTGACATTTATAGAAAAAAAAATTTAATTATTCAAATACAATCCAAGTGAAGACGGTATAACCAAACATTTAAATAAATTTTCATTTTCTTTTCTCAAATTATTTTTAAAAGCACTGAGCATTTTCAATTTCAACCAAATTAATAAAACCAACTAGATCCAATTTGCTTCCAAAAATATACACTGAGCATTGAAGCTTATGATCAGAGCATTTTTTCTACCAGAAAAGTTGAAAAGTTACAAACATTTTAAAATACCTCAAATAAACGTCTGAAATTATTAGACTAGACAAATTGAAAAGAAAATTGTAACTAATTTTAAAGCCCCCCCCCCCATTGAAAAATCCTGCGGACGCCACTGCGCTGTCGTTACTATCTTGTTTTTCTTAGAATCGAGTAGAGGTCGTCAATTGGTCGTTAATCGTTTAATTTTATTTTCTTCGGTACATTTTTATTGTAGTGTTGTCATTTTACAGAATAATACAATAAGGAAAAAACCCATAGTAAATACTAATTTTTTTGGAGTTATACGCGACTTACTTCGCTTATTCATCCCGGGTCACTGTGACGGAGACAAATACGTATAATATAATAATTAAATCTAAAATAAAAACCTAATTGTAGCTTTTTAATTATCGCGCAGTGGTAACAAGTAAATTTCTGATAATTTTGATAATTTTTGTAATGATATGCTCACACACCATTATAATAAACTAAAATCTTACAGAATACCTAATAAATAACGGCCAGACTGTCGTTTGTAGAAATCGGTCACATCAAATAAAACCATTATTAACGACAACTAAGATATCGGCACGCACTCATAACGGTAAAACGCAGGGTGTGTGACTTTATTATATGATGCCGCCAGAGAAAAGGAAAAGAAAAAAAGGGTATCTGCCGCCAAAGAATAATCTAGTTCCCAAGCTCACGATAACCTTTTGATAAAGCCGCCTACCACTTTCTGGTCATCTTCGCGTCATCCCTTAAATCAGTGCATGAGCACCATTCACAGAGTAACAACCTCCAAAAAAAAGGCCAAAAAAACCGATTTCAACGAGCGACATTCTGGACTCCTTATGTGAGCAATAATCAGTGCGTTTATTATTTCGATTTATAATTTAAAAAATGTTACTCTGTGTCTATTAAAACCCTTACAAGATAATTCACAAACGACTGCGGATCAGGTAATGCAATTAATATAATATTTTATATTAATTGCATTTATTATATTATCTGTGCATGTTTTATATACGATTGTGTTGTATAGTGTATTTGATCTAATTCTCGAAAACACGATCTCGAGAGCCCTCCGAGCATCTGAAGGAAGGTAATTGCTTGGTTTTACGATTTTATTATATTTATTGACATTTTATATGGTAATTTTTGAGTTATTACATTTTAAAATAATTAATTATGTGCATACAATGTTGTTGGTGAATAAGCGTCATTAACATTTTACCGTATTTTATCAACTCTTACAGAATTCTCAGATATTATTACACGTAGGTAGGTACTCTGTAAATCGTATACGACCGCGACAGCGGTTCTTAAAATTTTGGACCCCTGATGGAAGACTCTTAAAAATCGCAGACCTCCTACCAATTTTCTTTCGAATACCTACCTACCTTTTTTTTTACGAAATATCTCGTATTATCATAATTAATATTTTAATACTTGTTTTATATTACAAATCAAATATCAAGTAGGTATACAAGATACGAACATACATACGTGGCTTATAATTATTATTCTTATTCATAATTTTTCATAAAAAATGTAGTATTTTAATTTTAGATAGAACCGCCGCTGTGGTCCACAGTTTAAGAAAGGTTTCGTTCTATAACTGGTCTATTTCGGTATGGTTCCAGTCCTTTCGCCCTGGTTCCAATCATGATTTTTTCCTTGTACTTTTTAGTTTTTTTGCTTCTATGCTATGAAATCTTGACTGTCATAGATTTTCTTTACTATAATTTCTTACTGTCATTAAAACGAAAAGGTGGAGCGAAAACAAGCTATACCATACTATTTTATAGTTTAATAGTCAAGATTTTTCAGTGTCCATGCAATTTACATAATAAAATATATGTATTTATTATTATTGCCTATGGTTATAGGTACATTAATATCGCCACATGTTTTAATATTTTCTATTTAAAACAGTACATTAGAAGACACAATGTTATAATTAGAAATAATTTTAAGATTTATAAGAATATACACTTGTTGAGGTAAGCAAACCTTTTACAATACTTTAAAAGTTTAAACAAGTCAGAATATTATCATTTTTTATTTACATTGGTAAAGTACCTAACTTTTACATTATTGTGATTTTATTAGCTGAAGAACATTGTTTCAAATTTAATGAGTAATTGAATTTGTTTTATTATTCTTATTTTTAGAAACTATTGGCATAACTAGGGGGGTGAAAGAAGGTCTTTAGCATTCCCAAGTTCTAATTTAGCATCCTGTGTTTTTTTAGGTCTATCATTATTGTTGCAATTGTCAACACTGACATTATTATTATTATTATGGTAAAATAACATAAATTTTAGGGTTTTTAAAATATAAAATAATATAGCCACCCACGTTCTATAGGTCTACTTGCGCCTATGTTATAAAGAGCAGTAACAACGGATTAGTAACTGTACCGAGATGATGCTAATTTTTAAACTTGAAGTATTGTATATATTTTAATTTTAATGTAACATCTTCTATTGGTTAATAATATATTAATAGGTATATTACATTTTTTTTTTAAATGATAAAATTTTATTTCGTTATTAGTTACAAGTAAAAAAAAGATTCTTTACACAGTTTTAAATATTAACATAACAAATTAAATATTTAAGATTACAAACAATTTAAAAGTTACTATTTGTATTACACACATTATCACAGTAGTAGTATTGTCAAAGCAACCAGTACTTAATTAGTCTTAGCTAAATCAGAATTTTCCAATGGACAGACATCAAGGATACAGAACAATTGACGACAAAGTGGACAGGTACATTTTGATGATAGCCATATGGTTGTGTCGTTTTGAGGTTGCCTTGATTCATACCTAAAATCAATATTAATTATAATTTTTACAATACAATAACATGTTTTTTCTACAACAAGGTTTTTCTTACCACTTAGCCATGCAATCAACACACCACATAGGTCTGCATTGACACGAAGTACAATTTACTATGTCATTGCTATTTTCACAACATTTAGTAAGTTTAACATCCGGAGGATTCACCAAGCAACCAGCACATACATCGTCTTCTAACTAATAATAATATTACATTAATAAAATTAATCTTATTCAATTTTAATATATTTTATCAAGCACCAAATAGTAAACTACCAACACTTATAACTTAGTATTAGTTGAAATTAATTATGAGTGGTTTTTTTTTTTATTACCAAAAATTTAAATTACTTAAAACTAAATTAGATTGAGTTTTTTCTACAGAATGGTCAAATTATTTCAATTTTTTTAAGCTTTACAATTAATATAACATTTTTATAAAAATTATATCTAATAGTATAATGTGATTATTGATATATTGTGAATTGAAACCTGAAAAACAGACTCACAAAAACTAAATATTCTAACCCTGATAAAATGTTTTATATTTATATATTCATTTTTATGTTTAACATATTATTATGCGTTATATTTTTAGGAAAATATAAGTGATTAAAATCACATAGGTATTTAGAATATAATGCACAATTTGGTTATTCATGATTTAAATATTTAGTAAATGTATAGATCTGAGGTCAGTAATGAATCATAAGAACAAAATTTCATCAAGTAAAATGTATTGTTTGAAACATACTTCTGCTGAACTATAACCATTATGTACTGGCTTTTGGGAAACTTGATCACAAAATAATTCAATGAATCGTTCAGTTCTTGAGCGCTGTAACTTGACATTATCTGCAATCTGTATAGGATGGCCAATATGTTCTTCTAGTGTCTTAAAGTCTTCAGACCTTATTCTGTTCAAGGAATCATCATAAGTGTACTCATGAATTTTAACGAAAAACATTAAAATTAATTAATCATTTGAATTACCTAACAATAAACCATTTAATTTGAGAACGAATTGGTATCACTTGATTGTTGTACACATCAGGTGTAGAATCATGGTTATCTGAACTGTACACTAAGAAAGAACTTTCAGATTTCTTGGAAACATAAACCCTATAAGGTTTTATCGATATTATCCAGTTTTCAGTTACGACTGTTCTATTTATTGTACCATAGGCCAATGTCAATTTTTGAAGACTTAAACACAAAATATAAATGACAAAAAGTATATTATTAAAAAAAAATAATATTAAATACATTTTAAGTAGGCACTTAAACGGAATATTTATATAATTAATAATTATATATAATATATGTTAATTTATATAGTATAGAATATAGTTAATCATACCATTGATACTCGGTAGAAATGTTCTGAGCTATAAGTGTCCAATCAACAGAATTGTATCGACTCAAAATAATTGATAATGGATGTTTGGCCCAATTATTGGGTTTCCATTTAACCACTACTATTTCAAGACTACAAGCGATGGGCAACATTGACAAAAGAATCAACTCATTAAAGTAGACACTCACAAATGCTTTTTCATTGTCATTGACTAGCAGTGTGCCTAGTAAATAAACTGAAAAAAAAATTAATTTTGTTTTATAAAACGCTGGGCAGACATTTGTTTTTGGAAATGTGATTACATTTTGTAAGTTAAAACAAACAACTACATTTTCTTGATCACATCTATTTTTGACTTCATCTCCATAAAGTCTCCATTTTGTCTTTCCATTCTCATAGTAATTTTTGGGATTTCTTTGTTTTTTTTCTGGTAAATTTACTATCCATTTTGATTGGGGCCTTTTCTGATGGTGATTCTTCACAAGATGATTATTCAACTAATCTAAAACATGACAAATTATTTTAATTTTGTTATTAAATTACATTTTGGTGTATTTATTACTATCTTATATTATAATTACAATTACTAAAAGACATAGATTTTTAAATGTAATTCGGGTATTCTTAGGTATAGCATGCACTCTTTGCAACATGTTTGCATTTATGCAATACACTTTTAGTCTATTTCCATAAGGTTAATATAAAAATTAATAAAATAGTAAAACATAGTACAATATTATAACATAATATACAAAAATAAATTGTTCAGTGAAAATTTGTATTTTATATTTAGTACATTTAATGTATAAACATAAAACATTAAGGTATTTCTAGTTCCTACTCCGTTATTAATTTGTTATTAATACATGCAGGCTTTCAATAATTATATATTTATCTGATACTAATATTAAGAAATGTTTTTATTTTGTGTATCTCATATTGTCATTATCATATTGAAGTATACTACTCATAAAAACATAACAAAAAACACAAAATACATGATTTTATAGCAACAATTATAGCTAGGAACTGGTAGAATTATTTTAGCTTAAATTGGAACTATGTTTAATTAAAATAAATTATTATTGTAGTGTAACATTACCTTGACGTGTTTGTTGAATTTCCATCAATTAAACCATAAGAGATGTGAGTATGTACTTTCTGAGGTGACTTTTAGAGTCTATCCAATCTTGTAACTCATTAATACTTGAAATATCATTTTGTGAATCTCTAGAGTCTTGAAGTAAACTAGGAATACAAAAACAAAACAATTTTTAAGCATAGTTTAACTATTTAAAAATTAATACAAGCCAAAAAAGGTGCTCTGCTGTACAGCAGGTTACAAGTGGGTCACTGTATAACCAATGGTATTAGATTTGAATTCAATGATATAATATCATTGTATAAGAAAAACGATTCTGAGCGGAGACGGTATGTCAGTCTAGGTTTATGACATATATATACATATCTATGGTATTTTAAAAAATATTGACCTATAATAGGTCAATAAGTATTGATAATGCGTTATACATCAACAAAAAACCGTGATACTATCATGGATACATAATAGTACACTTTAGAAGTTTCAAGTAGGTACCCACGAATAATATTATGCAATCACAACAAAATAACTAAATGCTAGGTTTTTTAATATGGAATTTCATCCAAAAATGAACTTAAAATTACTATAAAAATAAACTGTGCTTGTGTATTTTTAATATTTTTCATAGCCTTCTATTAAATTTTCAAGCTTTCGCAACCAACAAATAACATTTTATTGATATTTTTAGAAAAAAAACTAAAAAAAGATGGAAAATGAAAATGTCCCTAAACAGTTCAAAATAAATCAAAATATTTTGAAAACGTTATCGTGTATATAAAATGCAAATATAAACAACCAGTGAAAATTTCATGTATATACGTTCATTTCTTTTAGAGTTACACCAAAAACCAAAATCGATTTTTTGGAAAACCAAATGAAAATATTAAGAGAACGTAACACGGGCATTTGTTTTCTCTGTCTTACAAGAGAGTAACATAGGAAATTTAAGCTCAGCATAAAACATTAAGCTTTTCTAGTGTAAAAATTAGAATGAATCGACCTATTATGAAACATGATTTTTAGTTATGAGCTTTTTTAATTAACGCTATATTATATACGTAAGACTTGCTAAAAAATTTAACTACAGTAAAAACTCCTATAAAAACAAAGATATTTTCTTACCATCAAGTTTCATTCACTCTAAATTTAAACTAACAAAGTCAAACGTGATCTGCTGAGCTTAAATGTGCTGTTACGTAATTGTAAGACGGAGACAACAAATGCCCGTGTTACATCCTCTTAATTATTAAAACTGGCAGTTCAAATAATTTGATTGAAACACACATCCCACTCCTTCCAAATGAACACCCTTTCAAATGACTGTGAAACTAATTAAACGTACATAATTTAATGACATTCCTGTGTTTAGTAAAATTATAGCAGAAGGTCTCAGAAGTATACACTATTATTTCACCCACCTACCCACGCAACTTTCAAGGCAGTTATTAAATTGAACTAGAAATAAAAATTGAAAAAGGTTTTAATTTGTAAAATATTTTGATTATTATATTGCAACAAATATTTCATCAGTCATTACTATACTTAATATTGTTATTTCATAAATAAAAATAAGTGTATTAACTTACAGGCAAAGGTTTTAATTGAGAAAATATTTGTTCACAATAATTATTTTCAAGCTTGGCTCTTTGATCTATTTCATGTTTTAGTGCCATTTTGGTTAACTTTAATTTTGTTAAGTAAGAATGGAGATTCTTGGCATGGTTTATTACTATCATTTCCAGTACCGGTCACTGAAAAGAAAAAATATAGAATTATTAGCAACTCAAATTTAAGAACTATATTTTAATTACAGCTTAAAAGTATAGGTACCTAACTCACCTGTTTATGCCCTCAATAAGAATTTTTTTTGAGAAATGTTTAAATTTATTTTTTAATTCTGCTTTTTCTGTTTCCATTTCATTATACTCATCTTTTCTTCGAATGCATCTTGATTCTCCATTTTAACTTTTTCTAATTCTTTTGTTAATGCTGATTGAGATTCCATAATTTTTATTTTTAATAATGCTGCTTGATCCAGCTGCAATTTCATCATATCAATATCATCTCAGGCAGTACATAATCATTAAATGATCTATCACGTCCTCTTGTATCTCTTCATTTCACTACAAAAGATTTTGTTATTTGGTTATTTGTTAACAATATGTACGTAAATATATCTTAATATATCTTTTACATGCATACTCACTTTACATAAGGAATTACAAATTCAGTGAATTGATCACCAGGTTTAATTTTGCGAGATCTTTGTGACATTGTGTTGGTTTTTTAGGAAAATATCTAAACCTGTCTTCAGCAGAAATAAATGAAATTATTATATATTAGCAATGATAAAAAAATTTAACAAACCTATTTAATGTATAAATGTCTTCAAGGAAATTTTCTTCAACTATATATGTGAATCCCTGTATATTCTAAGATGGACAGTCATTGTAATACTTGGAAAATGCTGCAGCATTAATATAACTTTAATATGAGTTCTCTGGATTAACAGTACAAAAAAAAAAATTAGTAAAATTTAAATAAAATACTATGATAGCAAGAAACATAATATGCATGTAATTACAACAGGTATGATTCTCTCGAGAATAGTTAATGTAAAATCACTAATGGTGTCACGTTCATGTATTTCATCAATGATAATAATAAGTGAGTAATAATTTAAAGCTTAATCTCTTTGGATACGTTGAAGTAAAATAACAGTAGTACAAAATAATACAGATCCATATTCACGAACCAATTTTCTAAAATATAATACATTATATTAGATATCAGTATCTTCTATTTACTTAATATTATAATCATGTACCTTGAAGAATAAATCATTAATATATTTGTATTCTCTAGTAGATATTTCTCAACTTACTGTGAAAATTTAGTTAAAAATAAATGTAATATTATAAATAAAATAAACAATTCATATTAACCTATGCCAATAATTAAGGTGTACAACTTATTAGTTTGTACCTATATGAAATTTTAGATGTTCACATATAGTTCAATAGAACTTTATTTTCTATCAACTTGCCACTTACTTGCAATGTCCCGAAATACAGATCCAATTGTCATAAGAATCAGATCAATAGTGACGAGTTCTAAAATATACTGAAGTCCAAACTAGTTATGTGTTTCTTTGCAATTTAACTATGCTGAGGCCCTTTGTGTTATTGAAATTGGATTGTTTCCCAGCAAAATTGTATTGCCTAAAAAATTAAAACTTTGTTAAAAATATGTCAGTGCACCATTTGTTTCTCTCTTTGAATAACAAGCAACATGCAAGTGTGAGTACAGTAGATCCAGTTTTGTACTGTTCGCTTTAATATTAGAATTATATGACATAATATTATAATCAAACTTAAAAGCAAATATATTTTTCAAGGTACCTGATAGAGAAGCACTAAGCATTTATTTGTATTTTATTTTTAAAACAAGTTATGAATATTTTAATATTGTAAGATATAATTATTTATATATTAATTTATTTTAACTAAATGGGCTGAGCCCTTTCGATATACAAATTTATGTCCACGCACACAATTAGATATTATACAATGTGTCCGTGAACAGGTGGGTACGTTAGTTAGTAAAATAGCTTTAAAATAAAAACCTATAAACAATATTCTCACCTTTAAGTTTCATAACTCGCTCCAATATGGTATGTATATAATTATCTTCAAGAAAGTCAACGTCTGAAAATTGTCAACACATTGGCTTGACTTCCTAGTTCCTTGTATGTGGTACATCATATATTTCAGTTTTGAAAACCATAATAAGTATAATCCACTGTATGAACTAAAAACGATAACCCACTAAGTAACTTTTGGCTTTGGCAAACATTTAAAATCGGAACTTGAGTAATATACTTGTAATATAAGTGTGTGTGAATTAGACATTATTAAGTTTCTAAGACTTTTCTGGGTTAATTAAAATCATCAACTGTAACGTCTCCAAATCCTTTATTTCATATTTGTCTGTTCATTTTCTTCAAACTCATCGTTGTAATTTTCTGAAAATATAAAGTTGTAAAAAATA